AAAAAAAAAAGTGCTAGATCTCTTCTGATTCTAAGCAGCAATGTATTGACTAGTACTTCTGTGGTGTTCTTCATGTCTCATGACAGCCCCGTGAGAACTGACAGTTGTAGACAGCATGGGTCACGCAACCAGTAAGTGGGTCTGTGGTCAGTCAGGTGAAGAGATGGATGATTTCTGCTCTGAAGATCTCAGAGGGAGAGAAGTTCCTCCAAACGACAGGGGCATTTGCTTGTCTATTCCCAGAACAAATTGACCTTGAGCACTGTCCTGTACTGTGCTAGGCATTGGGAATCCAGAAAGGTCCAAGCAGATAAGAAGCCCTGCTGGAGCATCACTTCCAATTAAGAAGACAAAGAGGAGACAGACGGATGGTGATCTGTGGAAGGAAAAATATTACAGGAGGAAGGATGATCAAGGCTAAGTGTGGGTGGGGTGAAGAGGTTTGGGGGAACGTCATCCCTAAGAGGAACGTCATCCCTAAGAGGAATGGTGTTTATGTAAAGATCTAAAGAAGTGAGGTGCTCAGTCAATGTTAGAATTAGACTCAGTCTTAGAGGAACTGACACTCCCATATTTTCCCAGTCCATCTTGGTAGCATTTGCTAGAGGAACAATCCTGAGGCTAATTGCCACCACATCTTCTTTAAAGGGTATCAGATTCAAACCAGGATTTAATGCTCTTTTCAAGCCACCCCGCCCCTTGGCGTGTTGCCCAAGAGGAACGTGGCTCTCCTCTAGTTTTCCCAAGCTTCTCATGGCAGGGGGATGAGGTGGTCCATTGAGACCTCTTGGGCAGAGATTGTGTCGTCTTCCATTTACTTATCTACCGGCTCCTTAGGAAGAAGCCAGTATGAGCACTCTGAAAGACAGCAGACTTCCTCCCCCACAAATTCCTCGCCACAATTGTGTAGGAGCCTTTGAAAAGGGAACAAGATGACCAACTTGTTTGTGGGAAAAGTTGTGGCTTTTCTATCACAAAAAACGTCACCTCTTGAATCAGAGGTGGGACAAATAAACTGAGTGCTTCGTGACAGGTGGGGCAGGGCCCTGAGTCACCACGGTGGAGAGGCCTCTCCTGGGAAGGTCATTCTGTTTCAAAGGTTGAATCAACCATGACATCACCCTTCAGGGTAATAGGTACTTCAGGTGCCAGCACTTACTCATTTGTCCCTGGGGAGATACTGGCCCTAGGTCTCTTTCCTCCTAGCTTCTTCTAAGGGTTTTGAGAGATAACTGAGTTCAGAGGTGGCTTGGTGAAGTTCACACGAAGGTTTCATTGCCATCCCAACCAACTTCCAGGCTTGCGATGGTGACTAAACATTCTGAAGAAATAATCTGTGGGTGTACTTCCTATACCTTGTGCTTTCTCGTTTTAAATCTGTATTTACTAAGAAATCTTCCAGACTGGGCATAGTAGATGAGGCCTCTATAATCACATGGACTCTAATCCCAGTGATTTGGGAAGGCTGAGGCGGTGAGGATTGCCAGTTTGAGACCAGCCTGGACATTAGAGAGATCTTGTCTCAAAATAAAAAGCAAGCTGAGCCTGGTGGCACATACCTGTAATCCTAGTCGCTTGTGAGGCTGAGGCAGGAGGATTGCAAGTTCAAACCCAGCTTCAGCAACAGTGAGGCCCTGAGCAACGCAGTGAGACCCTGTCTCTAAATAAAATATAAAATAGGGCTGGAGATGTGGCTCAGTGGTCTAGTGCCCCTGATTCCAATCCCCCGTACCAAAAATAAAGTAAAAAACAAACAGGTGGAGATTTTGCTCAGTGGTAGTGTCTCTGAGTGGATCAATTCCCAGTACCCACCCTCTAAAAAAGAAATCCTCTCACCCTATAATCCCAGCTACTAGCTAATGGGAGGCCAAGGCTCAGGTTGAGACTGAGACAGAAAGAAAGGAATCCTCTTCTACACCTTTGAAGGTGGGAGTTTCAGGGCTTGTCACATGGTCTTTGATTTTGAAACTTTAAGTTGTGCTGATTTCTCTTTGGACTTTGGAATTTAGTTATGGTTTCTTGTTTTCATTTCTTCTTTCTGCTAATCCTCTCACCTGAACCATGGGAGTATTTAAGACTTACGGAATCAGATACCTGGCAGCCTGTTCAACCAAAGAAACTGCTGTCACTTGCCAGGTGTGGGGTTTTATTTCTGGTTTCAAAGGAGATTTAATGTCAAGGTTGTGACTTTCAGGATGAGTCTCTCAGCCTACTTCAGAGAGCAAGGATAAACCGGGAAGGGTGGTCTGAGTAGCTGGATTCCAATCCCTTTGACCTTGAATAAGTTACTTAACCCTTTTTTGCTTCTGTCCCCTCACCTGAAAAAAGGGAATAAACATGATTCCTATCTCAGGGTTGCGGGGAGGATCTGATGAGTTAGCATCTAGAAAGTGCTCCCAGTACATAGCAAACATTCCTTAAAGAGTTTTTTTTTTTCTTTTTTGGTCCTGGGGATTGACACCAGGACCTTGAGCTTATATCTCTAGCCCTTTTTGATATAAGATCTCACTGAATTGCTGATATTGGCCTTGAACTTGTGATCCTCCTACTTCATCTTCCCAATGTGCTGGGATTACAAGTGTACAATCATTTTGCTTGGCAAAACCCCAGTTTTGATTATTAGATGCTTCTGCTTTTGATTTCTGTAGAAGGAATTAAAAGTGTGTAAATGATAAAAGACTGAAGGAGTCAGAGAGAAGGATTAAAGATGAAGCAGAGGTACCTTCCTTTGCTGCATGACCTCCCCAAATCCAAGACATCCCTTTTGGTCTAGCACCCATTCAAGGGCAGATTGTGTTACCAGCTGAGCATGCCATTGTGTAGCCAATCTATGTCAATTTATCATCACCACCTATGTGGCTGAACCATCCCATGAAATTAATCATAGTGCTGTGTCCATTTTACAGAGGGGGATATTGGGCCTCAGATAAAGTTGTCGACTTGCCCAAGGCCTCAAAGCAAGGAGTTGGCAGGCAAGGATTTGAACCCAGATCTGCTGACCCCAAAGCTTATGCCACCAGCTTCATACCTCTACCTGACTGGTGCTTTTCTGGAGAATTCCCATTGCCCAAGTACCAGTGTTTCTTGAATTAGAATTGTAGATTCTTATGCCCCCCCCCCACACACAATTTATAACACAGAGGATAGCATATTACACACAGTTATATACCTCATTTTCTTCACTCAGTAATTAGAGATTGTCTTAGATGGTTAGAGATGGTCTGCAATGTTTTTCTATTCCTTTTTTCTTTCTTTGGTGGTGGGGATAGAATCCAGGGTCTCTCACTAGGAAAGTATCCCACCCCCCTCCTCAAGAACATATTAGATCCTAAGGGCAAGAAGGTCTGCAGATATGGTGGTTTCTTAGCCCCTGGGGGAGTTATTGATGGCAGGGAATAGATTTCTCCCACAACCAGTCCTGGGCAGTGGGAGATTACTAGATCTCAGAGTTTGCTGAGGCGTGTAATAGGGTGAGGATTAGTACCAATCCCACAGGCAGTTTCTCTCACCAAAATTATTGAGTTTATTCTTGCTCAGACTCCCACTGTGCATGTCAACAGTTCAGTGATCCTGTTCTTTCCCCACCTCCCGGGATCCTTTAAGCCTTCAGTAGACCAAGAGTTCTTTGGATGACTGACTGTCCAGCCACCTTTGCTGCTGGCCTTTTGAGAAAGCTGAGAGCCAATTAAGATGCTTTTAAATACTTGTAAAGGGTATCATGTGGTCCCAAGGAGAATGGAATGAAAGGAAATGGGGCAGAAATAGCAGCAGGAGGAACTCAGTAAGACTTTGAGAGGAGGTTGATGGATTGGGTATGCATTATCTGAATACTGACAGCACCTTTCCCCATTTTGACTTCTAAAGCACTTGGGGTCACACCAGAATCATTTCTCCTACCTCACCTCAATGGCTGCAGCAGCCAAAGAATAAATGTCAAGGTCTTTGTAGACCTCATCATCCTCTCTCTAAAGGAAGATTTAGAATTATCTCAAACTAAGTTCATAGAGAAAGTGTGTTTTTAAAAAGCCAATCTTCCACAGTGGCACACATTTTGTAAAAAGAACTTGAAATGTAAATACTGTGTTTGTGCTGTAAGAGTTATGTATTTCAACAACAACAACAACAACAAAAAGCCAATCTTGTCTGCCTCGGTGGCGCATGCCTGTAATCCCAGCAGCTCAGGAGGCTGAGGCAGGAGAATCTCGAGTTCAAAGCCAGCCTCAGCAATGGCAAAGCACTAAGCAACTCAGTGAGACCCTGTCTCTAAATAAAATACAAAATAGTGCTGGGGATGTGGCTCAGTGGCTGAGTGCCCCTGAGTTTAATCCCTGGTAAACCCTCCCCCCCAAAAAAAAGCCATTATTTGGGGTCATAGTTAAAAAAGGCCTGAAGAATTGCCTCTTTTTGAGAACCCGCACAGCCCGTGGCCTGCCCAGCCCCTGCCAGAGTGCGGTTCCGGCACCCCGTGCCCGCGGTCCTATGATAGCCAAGATGGCAGCGCCCAGCTCCTTGTGGCTCCTGGCTGTCGCCCTGCTGCCCTGGTCCTGCACTGCCCGAGCGCTGGGGCATCTCAAGCAGCCGGCACCGCTGCCACTGGTGATCTGGCATGGGATGTGTGTTTTTGGACTCCCTGGATGCCCAGGAGAGAGCCCTCACATCTGTGACTTTATCAGAAAAACACTGATAAAGTTGGGGCTTACTCCAAAGCTGTTAAGAACGCCTGGTGCAAGGAGAATATTGGCATGATCCCATAAAGGAGGATGTGTACCTCAACCACAGCATCTTCTTGGCAAATATAAATCAGGAGCGGAGTGTCAATGAGGCCTACAAAAAAAAAAACCTCATGACCCTGAAGACATTTGTGATGAAATTCCTCAATGACTCCATTGTGGACCCTGTAGCTTCTGAGTGGTTTGG